ATTCATCTTTGACCCATCTGGAAGACTGGCCTATTGGTGGTCATCTGTAGTCAGTGCTGCCTTTACTTACAACTTCTGGGTCATTATTTACAGGTCACTATTCTTTCTCTGTACTGCTGAAGTGATGTGCCGCTTCGAAATTAATCATTATAAATCATGCCATCATTCTATATTTTATTTAGTTTTCTCGTAAATGTGTGTGTGTGTGTGCCTGCGTGCGTGTGTGTATAATCAATGATTTATGTTTTTATGTTGTTGTTAAACACTTGTATGCAGCAAAGCAATTAGAGGTGAAGCGTGGATGTTGAGCACGGTGGGGACCTCTTAACAATTATTGCCTACCCCTTCTTCTTTCATTGCAAGAGCCCGTCAAAATTATTTACATGTCAATCGAAATCATCGTGTCGCTTATCAAATTTTTGTTTTAATAAATCAGTTTGTTTTCCACTGCAAACTCAATTATCCAATAATTAAATTTAATTCGTTGAAGTATGTTTCAAAATCATAAGGAAGTCAATATGTAAAAATATAGAATTTATAACTTAAGAAAAAGGTATATAAAACTGTAATGAGCAGAACGTCAATGCTAAAAAAACTTTGTAACTTATTGAAATTTTGTAACAACTCATCTGAGAATGAAAAATATACACCTCGCAACAGGATAGCAATACAGGAAATCAACGACGACACTAAGACCTTCTGGTTCAGTCTGGACTACACGGCCGATGCAATCTACTTCCTTGATATTTTCTTCCGCTTCCGGACAGGCTACCTGGACGACGGAGTTCTGGAGACAAATTCATTCAAATTGAGGATCCGCTACATGAACAGCACCCTCTTCTATTCAGATTGTTTGTCTCTCTTGCCTCTTGACTTCCTCTACCTCAGTTTCGGATTCAAATCGGCCTGCAGATGTTTCAGACTCGTCAAGATTTACAGGTTCTGGTCGTTTCTAGACCGGACCGAGCGCCACACCAACTGGCCCAACGTAATTAGGTCACTGACCTTGCTGCATTACGTCATGGCCATTTTCCACTGGAACACGTGCTTGAGTGTCATCGTCTGGAGGACGTGGGGCGAGAATAATAGCAGCAGCTACATTCATGCAAACAACGCGAACAACAATCTCAATGGCGTGAACAACGCGAACAACAATCTCAATGGCGTGAACAACGCGAACAACAATCTCAACAGTGTGAACAACGCGAACAACAATCTCAACAGTGTGAACAACGCGAACAACAATCTCAACAGTGTGAACAACGCGAACAACAATCTCAACAGTGTGAACAACGCGAACAACAATCTCAACAGTGTGAACAACGCGAACAACAATCTCAACAGTGTGAACAACGCGAACAACAATCTCAACAGTGTGAACAACGCGAACAACAATCTCAACAGTGTGAACAACGCGAACAACAATCTCAACAGTGTGAACAACGCGAACAACAATCTCAACAGTGTGAACAACGCGAACAACAATCTCAACAGTGTGAACAACGCGAAAAACAATCTCAACAGTGTAAACAACGCGAACAACAATCTCAACAGTGTGAACAACGTGAACAACAACAACAACAACATTAACAATGCAAACAACGACAGAGGCAACAACATCAACAACGTAAACGAGGAAATAAACAAGAACGTGGGGAAGAATATCGCAGCAGAAGCAGCAGCAGTATCAGCAGCAGAATTGGACATGTGTAATCTGAATAATGAAGGTAGGAGGCTTAGCGTGGAGGATTTTGTTGTCGCTGTAGGATCTAATAATAAATTGGATGGCACAATAATTGATAACGATGTCGTCAACGCAAAAAACGAACAAAAAAGTTTCAATCAGCGTTCCATCGAAAGCACCAACAATGTTGAAAATAAAAACAACATTCATGACAACAATTCAAACAACGACGTGTCAACAAACAACATTTATGCACATGCTGAAACTGTTACTGAAAATCTCAAAACATCAACATCAACAACAACAACTCAAACTTATACAAACATCCAACACAGTAAAAAATATGCCAACAGCAAAAATAGGCCGCAACAAAGCCATCAGCGAACTCGTGGCAACGACAAAAATGTTTGTAACAACAAAAACGTCGGTGATAACCATGAAGACGGCGATAATAACAATGATAACATTATCAAAGACACGCTTCATAAAAATCCTGACGATCGTCTATATTTCTATTTACAGTTTTTTTATCGCAGCTCTCTTCACATGACTTCCGCCGGAAGTTTAGACCGATCGCCAGTCAGCAAGGCGGGCTTCCTCTTTGCCGTATTACAATTTGTCTTTGGTCTTCTGCTCTTCGCCGCCATTTTGGGTCACGTGGCAAACATCGTGGCCAACGTCAGCGCTAACAAGAGGGACTTCCAAAGTTTGTTCAAGTTTTCATCCGATTAACTCGCTTATCTTCTTATTTTCAAAATATTAATCTCCACTTTATCCTAATTTTGATCCCGTGTGTAATTTGTAAAATTTCTAATGGACCTCAAAGCAAAAATACCAATAAACTTAATTGAAAAATAAAACTCTAACAACTAACCATAGAAGTATGATTAAATGATGGAATAATGATGATAGAGCGACGGCGGTGATAATATGCAGTTTACAGACGCACGTTCTGCATACAAAAAAAGTGAACATCCAAACAGAATAATTGAATATTTTCTTAAAAATTTACTTCCATTTAACGTGAATACAAATTAGGTGGGTACAAACGGGGCACATAAACGTACACCTATACATACATTTAGACATACAAACAAACATACACATACATACAAATATGAATATGTATTAAATACATAAACATACACACACACACACACACACACACACACACACACACACACACACACACACAAGTACAATGCTAATGTTATTCTGAATCGCATTTCATGATAGTGTTGTATGTTTTATTAGATTTTCATAACGGACTGCAAAGAAGATGCCAAATAAAATAAAAATAAAAATATGTTTATGCATTTCTTGCACGAACAAAACAACAAACAAACTAACGAACCAACGAGCCAATGAACAAACGAACAAACGAACGAACGGTTATTGTTTTTTGCCACGCTACACTAGCACTACCTCGATGTTTCAGTTACATCATGTTGTTTATGTTTTGAATACATTTTGCCTGTACGTTATTTTGTTTACACTGTTTTGTATTCATCTCGTTTAGATGTTATTTTGTTTACATTGTTTTGTATTCATCTTGTTTGCATGTTTTTTTTGTTTACATTAGTTTGCATAATTTTGTTTGTATCTTTTTTGTATTTGTGTTGTTGTTTAAAAGATTTATTGATGGTTATCTATGAGCTGTGTGTGTGGTGTGTGTGTGTATGTGTGAATTTGAATGTTGACCAGCGCATTTTTTTGAACGGCATGTAGTGGTGTTGGCGTATTTTTTTGAG